GGGTGGAGATGTACCCCCGGTACGGCCCGGTTCGGCTCGGGCTGATGCAATGCTGCCGGGCTGCAGCCGGTGCTCCTGCTCGGAGGATGAGGATGAGGATGGGGATGGGGTGTCTCTCGGGGTTGGTAGGGCTGTCCCTCTGCACCCCCCCTGGGGTGTCGTGTGTCCCCCCTGCACCCCCGGACTGCCCCCAGGGCTGGCACGGAGCGCTGGGTACCACCCGCGGGGTCCTCTGCAGCCCCGAGCATCCCTCCTCCCCACGTGTCCCCGGCTCCCTGCTAGGCCTCTGTGGGCCCCCCACACCCCGCCGTGCCCCCCACTCCTCAGGGTGCCGCCAGCCCCACTGAAGGTGCACCCCCAAACTCCCCACCCTCAGGCTGAGCCCCCCTTGGGGGAGGGACACAAGGCCCTGCTGCTGCCAGGGAGCAGCCCCCCCAGCCCCAGGAGGCCAGACACGTTCTTCTCAGGATGAGGGGGACCCCCCAGCCCGGGAAGCCCCCCAGTCAGCCGGTGACAGCGGGGGCCACGGGCGCGTCCCCAGGCAGGTTCCCAGCCTCCCTTCTCCCCCGTGGCGTTGCAATTCAGGTAATTAAAACCCAGCCCCGAAGACGCAGGAAACCGCAGGCGCTGGAGGGAGGCCGGCGAGGAGGCTGTGCCGGGCAGCCCTGCTTCCCCAAACCTGGCTCCTGGCCCCCCCGGGGTGCTGAGGGCCACGCCGCATGGACCCCACCGATGAACGAAGCCTGGGGGGGGATGGAGGGGGGGACACCGCTGTGCCGTGATGCTCCCGCTGGGATGCAGGAGACAGCTCCCGCCACACCCGCTTCCATTGTGGGGCCGGCTGGGGGGGCTGCACCGGCATCGCCCCCCACCTCACCCCAGCGCCGGCGCTTTTATTTCCGTGGTAATTTGGGGTCATTTTTGCCAGGAGCCCGGCGCGGCGGAGATCAAAGCTGGGCGCAGGCGGCGGGCGCGGGGAGGTGCGGGGAGATGCGGGGGCTGCCAGGGCGGCTCCGGCCCCCCTCGCCCGCGGAGAGGATTCCTGAGCCAGCCCCCCAGCTGGAGGGGCTCTGCCATGGCCCCCCCCTGGGCCCCCACTGCCATTTGCAGGGCGAGAGCAAAGCCGGCCCTGTGTGCACCCCAGGGTGGGGGGGCTGTGGGTGCTGAGACCCGAAGGCAAGTGGGGGTTTGGGGGAAGGAGGTGGGGACCAGCCCAGGCTGAGCCCCCCCCCACCTTTACCCAGGGCATCCGGGGACACGGCTCAGTTCTTCTCCCTACAGGAGCATCCCCCGGGTGAAGGTGTGTGATGCTGGGGGCTGATTGTCCCCCTGCCCGAGGGCACTGCCCTCTTGCCACCCTGGGGACCCGCGCAGGGCAGTGACACCCCACAGGGTCCCCCCAACATATGAAGATGTTTGGTGTTGGGAGACACTGGGGCAGCTGGTGGCGTTGCTCCTCTCCATGTCCCCATAAAGGCCCCTGAATTGCCACCACGAGCTCCCATCCAGGCTTGCCTCCACCTGGGGAGCAAGGATCAGTGTGTCCCCATGGCAGGGATGGCACGAGGATGTGGCAGGCAGTGACACGGAGCCCATTGTGCCAGGGCACCCCACGCCACAGCCTGCCCCATCACACATGGCGGGGGCCTGGGGCTGCGCAGGGATGGCAGCGCCTGGCACCATCTTCCTGCACCGTCCCCCATCCCCTTGTGCCACCCGGGGGCGGGTGGTGGGTTCTGTGCCCACCCTGAGGTCCCCCACCCCGGGGACAACCCCGGCAGAGGGGCTGCGCTGTGCCACACGCCTGACTGGCACAGGAGGAGGAGCAGCCGAGCTGCGGTCCTGCGCCGCACCGCTGCCACCCCGGAGCCATTCCCGTCCCTGTCCCCATCTCTGGTCCCTGTCCCCATTCCCTGTGGGTGTCACAGCCCCAGGATGGGCAGCACTTGCAGGTCTGTGCCACAGCCCCCCGAGACGGACCCATCCCAGCGCCAGGATCCGGGACCAAGCTCTTTTTGGTGAAAACTGGGTCACGCCGTGTCCCCTGGGGTTGGCTCCAGCGCTGCGTCCCCAAAGCGGGGACCCTCGTCCCACCCGGTGCCGGGTCAGGGCTGCGGCTGGGGAGCCCTGCTGAGCCTGCAGCACCCGTCCCCCGGCTGGGGGGCGATTGCTTTAATTAGAGTCATTTCATTAGCGCAATTAAGAAGCAGCAGTCGCCTGGAGAGCGTCGGAGCAGCACACTGGCTCCTGGGCAACTGTGGGAGGGGGGCTGTTTTGCTCCGGCAGTTTGGGCAGCCTGGGGTGTCCCCCTGCCCAGTGAGCCCCTGGGGATGAGGGGCATGGGGATGCCCACACTCCAAGGCAGGGACGGGGACATCCCCGGGGCAGAGGGACAGCAGGACAGGCCAAACAGCAAGACAAGGACTTGCTGTGGGGCGAGAGCTGCAGCACCAGGTAGCCCACCCCTGCCCCAAACACCTCCAGGGTGCCCAGTCCCAGCCAGCACCTTTGGGTGCTGCACCCCAGGTTTGTCTCCTCCCCAAAAAAAAAACCCATGCCCTGATTCAGGGTTCCTCCCCCATGCCTCCTGACTGCCCCTCTCCGGGCACCAGGCTGGGTGCTGGGGGGCAGAGGCTGAGCCCCCTCATTCTGCTCCTCCATCAGCCCCCACACGATGCTCCCAGCCCTGGGCACGGGTGTGATGCTGATGCTGCCCCTCGCACAGGGAAAAGATGGAGGAGGGGGGGGAGATGGGGACACCCGTGGGTGCTCAGGGCGCCCACCGCCGCCGCTGGCGGGCGAGGGATTCCTCGGGGGCTGGCCGGGTGCCAGGCTCCGGGCTTGGCACAAAACAATCGCAGCCCCAACGCGCGGCTCCCCAAGGGCCCGGGGGATCCTCCGAGCAGCCGCTCCGCTCACGCAGCCGTCCGCCCCCGGCTCAGGCAGGGGAACACGTGCGCCCGCCGCAGCCCACGTTCGTCGCCCGCCGTGCTCCCAGCCCCGGTGGAGGGGGGGAGGGGGGTTGGGGTGGGCTACCGGCAGCTGCTGCTTGGCAACTGGGCAACAGCACCCCCCCTACATCCCACCCCCGGCTTCCAAATCCCAGAGGTGGGGGCTTTTCCCAGGCTTGCAGCTGCATCTGGCTGTGCAGAGCTCTGTGCATCGCGCCGGGGGCATCCGTGCAGCTCAGCCTTGACCGTGTTGAGTCCCCCCACCGGGTGCTGGCAGCCACCACCGCACTCTCCCCACCCTCCCCATGGGGCTTGCGGTGGCTGTGGGGAGCAGGGAGAGCCTTTTGGGGTGCGCAGTGCGTGTAACTCTTGGGGGAGCTCAGGGATGGGGATGCTCTCCGAGATACCGGCAAATGTCGGCTGCTTTCCCTGGTGGCTCCCTCACATCTGCAGGAGGCAGAGGGAAGGTGGGGGGTGGGTGAGATCTGGCCACCCTGATGCCCCCTGAGCCTGGCGACCTCCCGGCAGGCCGACATTGAGCAGCTGGACCCCCGAGGACGCACCCCGCTGCACCTGGCCACCACGTTGGGCCACCTCGAGTGCGCCAGGGTGCTGCTGAAGCATGGCGCCGACGTGGGCAAGGAGAACCGCAGTGGCTGGACAGGTGAGGGGGGGGCTCGCTGCTTTGGTCCCCTGGCAAGCTGGTCTGGCATGGGCACGGGCATGGACACGGGCATGGACACGGGCATGGGCATGGACACGGGCATGGACATGCTCAGCCTGGTGCTGTAGGTCCCCAAGGGACAGCTCACGTGGAAATACATGCGTGTGGCTCCTGTGCGGTGGCCAGCTCTGCTGTGCCATGCCGTGCTGTGCCGTGCCATGTCGTGCCACCCACCCTGGGCACTCTCTCTGCCCCACAGTCCTGCAGGAGGCTGTGAGCACCCGCGACCTGGAGCTGGTGCAGCTGGTCCTGCGCTACCGTGACTACCAGAGAGCCATCAAGCGCCTTGCTGGGATCCCCATCCTGCTGGAGAAGCTGCGCAAGGTACCTCCTTCCAGCGGGGCCACCAGGGTGGGGGGGGGACGCCGGCCATGGGCTCCTCCTGACCCCACTGTGCCCTCCACAGGCCCAGGACTTCTACGTGGAGATGAAGTGGGAGTTCACCAGCTGGGGTAAGCTCGGGGCAGAGCGTGGTGGGGGGAGAAGGACTTTCCCAGCAGATCCTCCCCCACCTATGGCGCTGCCCCCGGCCCCAGCACCCATCCTCATCCCCAGGGTGAGGGACACCTGTCCTCTTGCTCCCTACACCCCAAGCTTGCAGACCCCAGTCCCATTGAGATGTTGGGTTCCTGGGCACATCTCCCACCCAGCTGCCCACCCGGGGGTGCAGGGTGGTCCCACCCCTGGCTGGGCTATTGCCATCTCTCCCCAGTGCCACTGGTGTCCAAGATTTGCCCCAGCGACACCTACAAGGTGTGGAAGAGTGGCCAGAACCTGCGGGTGGACACCACACTTCTGGGCTTCGACCATATGACCTGGCAACGGGGCAACCGCAGCTTCGTCTTTCGGGGACAAGGTGACCAGGCACTGGGGTGTCCCCCCCATCACCAGGAAGCACCAGCAGAGCCCCTTGGTGGGGCTGGGTGGGGACCGTGGCTGTCCCCACGTACCCTGACCCCCCTCCTTCTCGCCCTAGACACTAGTGCAGTGGTGATGGAGATCGACCACGACCGGCGGGTGGTCTACTCGGAGACGCTGGCCCTGGCCAGCCATGACCAGGAGGTGCTGCTGGCTGCTGTGCAGCCCACCGAGGAGCAGGTGATGGGGCGGCTGACGGCCCCCGTTGTCACCACCCAGCTCGACACCAAGAACATCGCCTTCGAGAGGTGGGCTGAGGGTGACCACTGATCTCCCCCCATCTCCCCCGAGGGAAATGCAGCCCCCCCCGGGGCTCTTGCACTCTGGGCTGTCCAAGCGAGACCATCCATCGCTCATCCTGCCCTGTGTCACCCCCAGGAACAAGTCCGGGATTCTGGGCTGGAGGAGCGAGAAGACAGAAATGGTGAATGGGTACGAGGCCAAGGTGAGGGGGCAAGGGGGGGGATCTGAGCCTCCTGGAGGGGTAGGGATGACTCGGGGGGTTATCCATCCCGTGTTTTCCCCTCCTCGGCGCAGGTCTACGGCGCGTCCAACGTGGAGCTGATCACGCGGACACGGACGGAGCATCTCTCAGACCAGCACAAGGGCAAGAGCAAAGGTGGAGCCGGTGTGGGCTGGGTGGGCAGGGCTCCGCGCCGGCTCCGGCCCTCACCCCCTCTCCCACAGGCAGTAAGACCCCCCTGCAGTCCTTCCTGGGCATCGCCGAGCAGCACGTGGGGCCCAACAACGGGGTGAGTCTGTCTGGGAAGGGGTGTCCTCTTGGCTGGGTGGCCCCCCAGCCAGATGTCCCCCCCCTGCTTCCCCCGTTACCCTGCTGGGCTGTCCCGCAGACGCTGATCACGCAGACGCTGAGCCACACCAACCCCACCGCCATCACCCCCGAGGAGTACTTCAACCCCAACTTCGAGCTGGGCAACCGGGACATGGGGCGGCCCATGGAGCTCACCACCAAGACACAGAAGTGAGGGGAGAAAGGAGCAGATTGGGGACCCACCCCCCCACCTCCTTGGTCCCCCCCTTGATGTCTGCAGACCCCCCCCGGGGTGGGATAGGCAGAGGTCCCCAGCCTGGTGCCTGTCCCCGGCAGGTTCAAGGCGAAGCTGTGGCTGTGTGAGGACCACCCGCTGTCCCTGTGTGAGCAGGTTGCCCCCATCATCGACCTCATGGCAATAAGCAACGCTCTCTTTGCCAAACTGCGGGATTTCATCACCCTGCGCCTCCCGCCCGGCTTCCCCGTCAAGATCGGTACGGGTTTGGGGGGGGTGGGGGGTGGATTTGTCACCGGCGTGGGTGGCGCTTTTTTTTTTTTTTTTTTTTTTTTTTTTTCTTCTCTCCTTTCTTTCCTGCAGAAATCCCCATCTTCCACATCCTCAACGCCCGCATCACCTTCGGGAACCTCAACGGGTGCGACGAGCCCGTCAGCTCCCTGCGGAACAGCCCCAGCAGCGAGGCACCGTCCCCCAGCAGCGACTCCTCCAGCGTCAGCAGCTCCAGCTCCCTGAGTACGGCGGGGTTGGGGGGGGACACGGCTTGGGGGGGGTTGGCACACAGACATAACGGGGTGCCCAGCCGTGCCAAGCATCTGTGTCCCCGCAGCCTCGTGCCGGGCGTGCGAGATGGACCCGGCGCTGTTTGAGGTGCCGCGGGGGTACAGCGTGGTGGGCACCCACCAGGACGCCCTGCGGGAGGACGAGGATGACCTGCTGCAGTTTGCCATCCAGCAGAGCCTGCTGGAAGCGGGCAGTGAGTACGACCAGGTGGGCACTGCCACCTCCTTTCCCACCCACTAGGCTGGGGGCAACCTGCTGCCCACCCTGTCCTGATGCTGCCCTGGGATGCTCATCCCCACCTCGCTCCATCCCTGCATCCTACAGTGGCGGGGCAGAGCTCATGCTTGGGG